TCATAAACAGTGATCCCATATCTATTGCAGAAGTTACATTCCAGAGACCCCTGTGATAGGTGAAAATCTATAAAGCAGCAATAAGTGAACCACAATATAACAAGGGATGACTAATGCTTCTACTTTGTGGATTTTAACCTATCACAGGGGTCTCTGGAATGTAACTCCCATGATAGGTGAGGGATCACTGTATTTCCTTCTAAGTGTACCCTTTTAGATATTAAAAACAATTATTTACTTAGGACTGATAAATCAGAGTCAGGAAACATCAGCAACTTGAGGCACTACCCCCTCACTAAAGAGATTAAAAGACTGTAGAGTGTGTGTGTGTGTGTGTGTGTGTGTGTGTGTGTGTGTATGTATGGATGTGGTATTGTGGTAGGGATCAGACCCAGAGCCTTGGATGTACTGAGCATAAACCCTACCATTGAATTATTCCCCTAGCACAAGATCACCCATTTTTGTACAGCATTTAAAACATCTTCCATTTACCAGTTAATTTCACAGAAACAAATGAGAGCAATAGCAAAACACACATACAGACCCTCCTTCTGCCTAGTACTGGTGGCTCACACCTGTAACCCTATTTAGAAACCTGAGATCTGAGGATCACAGTTTGAAGCTGGTCTTAGGCAGGAAAGGCTATGAAACTCTTTTTTTTTTTGGTCTGTCATAGGGTTTGAACTGTGGGCCCTGGAGTTGTCTTTGAGCTCTTCAGCTACTTGAGTCACAGTGCCACTTCTGGTTTTCTGGTGATTAACTGGAGATAAGGTCTCACATACTTTCCTGCCTGGGCTGGCTTTGAACTGTGATCATCAGATCTCAGCCTCCTGAGTAGATAGGATTACCAGAGTGAGCCACCAGTGTCCAGGTTGAAACTCTTATCTCCAATTACCCACCAAAAAAGCTAGAAGTGGAGTTGTAGTTCAAGTGGTAGAACACTAGCCTTGACCAAAAAGCTCAAGACAGTGCCCACGCTTTTGAATTCAAGCCCCAGGACAGATACAAAAAAAATAAAACCCCTGAGTTCAATCCTAGTAAATATGCACACACAAAAGAAGACAGGAAAGGAGGGAGGGAAGAAGGGAAAAAAAGAGGGAGAGAGGAGGAGAGAGAGAGAAGGAAGGGAAGGGGAGGATATATTTAAACTTGGTAAATATACTCATCTTAGGTAAACTTTTGTGTGCTATTGTGGGGGGAATGGTACAAGCTTCAGAACATATGACATTTTTTTTCTGCACCAAACTCAAAATATTGTTAATCTTTGGATTCCAGACTCCTTAACATACCTCTTCATCTTACCTCTCCAGAACTGTCAAATTTGTTCCCCCAGAATCTCACATTTGGTCTCTTCTTCTTCTTTTTTTTTTTTTTTTGTTGGTCATAGGACTTGAACTCTGGGCCTGGATGCTGTCCCTCAGCTCTTCAGCTCAAAGTTAGTGCTCTACCACTTGAGACACAGCACCAGTTTTTTCTATTTATGTGGTGTTGAGGAATCCAACCCAGGGCCTCATGCATATAAGGTAGGCACTCTACCACTGAGCCACCTTCCCAGCCCATGGCCTTTTCTTCTTAACTGTTGTTACTTCCTGCCTGGATTTGCTCATTATTTACGAAGTGCCTATTATCAGCCAAGCAGAGCTGGGCCCTGCTCCTAGATCTTAGGAAGCTCAAACGGTACAAACTAGAGCAATTATCTACTGATCTAGATTGCCAAATTTAAAGCTTTAGCAAAGGCTTCATATTTCCAGAAGCTAGCAGCATCTGGCATAGAGTAGATACTAAAAATGTGCGTTGCATGACTAACTTTAGAAAGCTTTTTTTAATCCATCAGTATGTATCTTCGTTTTCTTTCCATTTGAATACAAAACCAATATATGCACAATGCAAAAATAGCATAGGAAAATATAAGGTAACACTAATTTCCCCATCCTCTAAATCCCAGTTCCTTATGTCTCTACTATTATTGTTTGCTATGTACTTTTCCAGAACTGTCCCCCGCTAGTGTACAACACACACACACACACACACACACACACACACACCCTACCTACCTTTTGGAACAAGTTCTTTGATAATTTCTGATTGTAGCTTTTCAACCTTCTAATCTAGTGTTTCTCAAAGTATGTCATTTGGACTAGTAGCATCATCATCATTTAGGATACTCTTAGAACTTCAAATTCTCAGGCCCCACTCAAGACTTCCTGAATCATAAACTCCAGAGGTAGGCTCAGCAGTACAGGTGCTAATACACTTGTCTGAGTGACTGATGCACAGTAAAGGTTGAGAGCTGCCACTCTACTAGCCAATTCTTACCATCCCTAAACATGGCAGACACTATTATCTTGTCTCATTTTTATCATCCCTGCTTCAAAATGTTTTCCTCATCCTTTTGACTTTGACCTTATCAGTCTGTCAAACCTTGAAGGTCCTAACCCTTCTCCAAAATGGTCTTTCTACCACAACACATTCTATTAACTCCGTTTGAGCCTTTTCCCCCAACTCCCATGACAAATCTAAGCTCTCTACCAATTTACAATATACATTAGCAGATAGTTCTTTAATCTTCCTCAACAGATAAGCTCCCTGACCACATAAATTATATACATTTTTAATCTTTTCCCTCACCTCTGATTTAAGAACATAAGTAGAATTTTAACAGGGTTGCTGGTTAATGTCTTTAAAGATGAATTCACCAAAAAAAAAAGAGAGGAAAAACTGGTAAACTTTATTTATTCATTTTACAGTGCTAGTGATCAAACCTTAAGCATGCTACTCATGCCTTCTCCCACTGAGTTACACACCCAACCCTGACAAATCATTAATGGATAAAAAGTCTGCAACTTCAAGCTGTAGTCCTAGTTCTATGACCTTGGATGAGTTCACTTCACAGGATGATGTCTATAAAAGTGATAGGGTTAGACTCAGTGCTTGTTTTCAACTTGAATAAAATATGACTTTATGAAAGGTTCCATGTTGGAATATTTTATTCCATTATAGTCTCATATTGCTTTGTTTATAATCTAACAGGGAAATTTTTAGACTTGAACTATAGTATGGTGTTTCTAAATTAGTTAAACTGTTTCAACAGGAAACATGCTTTATTCAACTGTGAATCTTCCTCCACGCTCACACATATCAGTTCCATATATCTGCAGAATATTATTTGGAAAAACTGTTTAAGAAGCTTCATTTATATAGAGAAATTGCCCATATCTACTGCCTCCTTTTGAATATTCATTGAATATTTACTGGTATACAGTAAAAACTAGAATAACTCTGCTATCACCATGGCTAGTTTCCCCACATAGGAAAAAAAAATTTAAAAAAATAAAAAGTATGTCATAAGCACTTAAGGATAGACTATAAAATTGTATTCCTCAGCCCTCCCTACTGCAACATCTCCAATGCTGGGGATGAATTAACCTCTTGAGCAAGATACTTAAATGTAACTTTTCATAAACAACAGGGTAGACTGGTCTTTGAACTGAATGGTGGTTTGATCAGATATTAAGTCTAAAAGGACTGAGGCAAAGAGAAATGGGAAGGTGAGAGGATGAAAAAGAAAGGCAGCAAGAATATTGCCCTTTGAGTAATGAAAGAAGCAGTGGAAATTCACTGAGTCTACTAAGAGCCAGGCATTTGGGATTGCAAAGATGGCCCCTGAACCCAAAAGACTATGGGTAAGACAGAGGCCTCTACCCTGTTTTATTCTAATTGGGAAAAGCAAACAGGGAAGGCTTCACAGAGGATGAAATTTAGTGGGCCTTTTAAGTGCAGAGGAGGATTTGCGAAGGGTAAAAAGGCAGTTTGAGCTAGTTAGTTCCTTGGCAAAACACACATATTTTTTAGAGCTGTTCCTTTGGGACTCCAAATCAAAAGAAGCTTCTTAGATTTAGCACCACTGGGTTAAGGCCCTTTCTCTTTTTACTTAAACACTGAAACGTTCAAGACTAGAACTGGAGCAGAGCCAGCAAGCCCCCAAATGAGGTGAAAGATGGCTAAATCAGCTCTGTCACCTCCAAGTCCAGCCAGCCCAGCCAGCCTGGTCCTGCTCTCCAGGCAACAACTAGGAAAGAAGACTAATAATAACCCTCTGGGGGACAGCTTGGGAGGGAAATGTGGATGCAGGCAGGCAAGGCTTCCCTCTCCAGTCCTCTAGCCTACCTATGATAAGGAGGGAAGCTCTGAAGACCAAAGAGGAAGCATTGGATTAAGAAGTGCGAGGATCTTAATAAAATGCTTAACAAGATTTCTGGCACACAAGTGCTGGATGATAGGCAGGCAGCTCTTATTCATACCGCTATGGTCTCACAGTGGCCCCTCAACTGGACTCTGACACGAAGCTGGTCTGTTCGCAGCCCACTTAACAACAATGAAGAGCAACTCCAGAGACAGTAAGTGCATTAAAAACAAAAAAAAACAATTTAAAGGTAGGAGAGCAAATTCTAACTGGCACTATCCTCAGAGCCCAAGCCCCTGAGTTCCAGTTGCTGGCCGTGTCACTTGTCAGCCCCATGACCTTGGGCATGGCGTTTCACCTCTCTACGCCTCAGTTTCCTGCACTCTAAACCGGGTCTACGAAGCTCTTGCCCGACAGAGGGTGCGTGTGGGCTCCGGGGCGGCGCGAGCCCCGGCGCGCTGCGGCCCCTCTTCGCAGCCCCCTCCGCCGAGGGCAGCCAGGGCGGCTGGGGAAGCCCAACCCGAGCCCTGCCGCGCTCCGGGAGCGGGAACGCGGTGAGGCCTGCGGGCGGCCCGTGCCCCAGGGCGCCGGGGTCCGGAGCGAGGCTCCGCCGCGCCGCTGCCGGGCCGCGAGCGGCCGAGGGAGGCTGACTCGGCTTCGGCGGGCGGAGACACGGTACCGAGCCCGGGAGGAGGCTGGCATAGCGGACCCCAGGCCCCGCCACACCACAACCAGGCCAGGAGGTCAGGGACGAGACGCCCCCGAGAGCCACCCCGCGCTGCGCGCCCCCCGTGGCGAGACCCAGGCTCTTACTCACCTGAGGTGCGAAGCCGGTGGTCAGCTCGGTGGCAGCGGCAGCAGCTGAGGCAGCGGCTAGAGGGGCGGGAGGGAAGGTGGGGGGGAGAGGAGGACGGGGCGAGAGACTGAGCGTCCGCGCATGCGCACTGCAGACGCGCGAGCTTCACGCACGCGCATCGCATCCACCCGCCTGAGGAACTACCGAAAAAATGGCGGACAGTATAGGAGGAGCCGGCTACGCCATCTTGGATGTAGTTTTTCTTGCTGCAGGGTTTCCTCCCAGACCTAGAATTGTCGGGAGCCCGGCGACTTCAGTGCTCAGTCTGCACAGCCTCCACCTCTTCCTCTGAGTCACATCCTTAGGAAGCCCCTTCGAAACTTACCCGGTATGCCCACTTTAAGAGGACCGCTGGCCACACGCAAGGTCACGTGGCGCCCACCCAGTGCTCGGCACGTGGGAGGGACTCAGGCACATTTTGAGGAACAGTGATTTGGGACTGGAGTTACGGGATTGAGGGCTCCCACCTCCAAGTCTTTTGTATCAGCTCTATTACAACTGGCAGCCATACTGCTTGCTTGCTTGAGTATAACAAGAGGTGGATTTTTCCACAATGACTTCATATATTAAGTTTAATGACTCAATTTAATATCAAAATGTACAGGACATAACCTCATCCCCTTAGCGCATATTACTTTTTATTTACACTGAGTATCATTGACTAAAGGTTATTATTTTAGGCAAATGAAATAAATACAACCAAGCATCTCAAAAGGCAGAGATAATGTTACTCATTGAGCACAATTTCTGAACCAAATTTGGGTATGGCCCTTTCTTGATACTGAATATCAAATTGATTCATGTTCACCCTCCATTACTATCCACACGTCATTGAATTAAGCTCTCTATACCTGAGTTCCTCATCTAGAGTGACAAAAAACAGAATCTAAGTTTTTTTAAGAGCTAATTGATACTTAGACCTCAATAGGTATTATTTTTTAATATTCCATTCTGTTTAGCTGTCGAAGTCACTGAACATACTTCCTATCCTCATCAAATTCAAACAAAAAAGGTTGAATCACCTTTGGGTAGAGGTGGTTTATCCCCATTTTATAAAGAAACTCAGAAATGCACAGAAATGGAGGAACAGAGGTGAACAAAAAGCAGTGATACTCACTAGATAGACACTGTTGAACATGAACTATACAACTTGTGAGTGGGTATGGGAGGGAAATCTGGGAGAAAGCAAGGGAAGGGGTGACAATGTTCAAAAAGAAATGTACTCTTCATCTGACTTATGTAGCTCCCTTTGAACATCAACTTTATATTAGCAATAATCAAATTTAAAAAAACACTCAGAATAAGAGACTCCCTCTAAACTCTACACTCTGTGTGATACCACTCTGTTTCTGAAATAGTAGGTCATTAACATGGCTCCTGATTCTTAAATGTTAGCTTTGAGATTCAAACTTCCCCTCTTGTTCTACTGTGGACAATAATGCATTCTAAAGTCTTCAAACTAAACATTACTCTCATACTGTATCTCTAGCCCCACACTTTACTACCCAGTTCTCCATCCGTATATATGATAGTGTAGTTGAATTCTCCATTTGATATCACAAATTGATTTATTAGCTTCCCCGCTGTTCTAAACCTATATTGTTTAATCTTTATGGTATCCCAGAGTTATAGATTCTACCATTCTTCCAACCTTACAGACAAGAGATTAAATGACTTCTGTCACAGGAAGTGACAAGATTGGTTTTTTGTTTGTTTTAGGATTGGGTTAAGAGACAGGTTACATATCAATTATGTTCTGGACACCATGAGCAACACATCACATTCATCCACTTAACACTTAGCACAAGCTATCACTTCTCACCTCAACTTCAGTAAAGCTTAACTGCTCTTCATATCTACATCTTGCTTGTTTCTGTTACCCACAGAGCAAATAGTGACTTTTTCCAAATCAAGTTCAGGGGTTGAGCAGTAGCTTAGTGGTAGAGAACCAATCTACCATGTATGAGGCCCTGGAATTTACTCTCAGCCCTAGAAAAGAAAAACCAAAAAAAACCCTAAAAGTAGTCTTATCCCTTAGTATTAACTCAAAAGATGTTAACTCAATATCAAAACTAAAGCACACGATATATATTAGGATACAGACAATGAGTAGTCTTTCCTTAAAATTGGACATTTGTGAACAATGCTCAATGTTCTTAGCCCCTAAAATGATTCATTAAGCATGGTCCTAATTGACTTGGGTTGAAAAATCTATTTACAGTAGGTAGCAGTGGCACATACCTATAATCTTAGCTACTCAGGAGGCTGAGATGTGAAAAATCAAAGTTTGAAGCCATCCTTGGCAGAAAAATCCACAAGAGTTATCCCCAATTAACCAGTAAAACACCAGATTGAAGGTGTGGCTCAAGTGAGTGGAATACCAGCCATGAGTGAAGAAGCTGAGCTGAGAGCATGGGGGCCTATATTCAAGCCCCAGTATCAGCACCCAAAACAAAACCAGATAAAACAAGAATAGATGAACAGTTCTGACCATGAAGGATATTTAACAGAACGAGCAGCTGATTCTGAAGGCCATTTCAAAAAAGAGGCTTTGAGCATTTTGAACATTCCAGGAGAAAGTATGTCTCCAACATTCTTTTGGATGCACAAATTCCATCACTCTGAAAAAAGTCCAAGTTCTCTGCAATCAGCCAAATATCCTCAAGGGCAACAGACAGAACTTTCCAGTCCAGAATGCCACAGAAACACCACATGCTGGGATACTCTTCCTAGTCCTATCTTCTGACTATTGCATGGCAGAAAATCTGGATAACATCACTGACAAGATGGAGAGCACTGTGTGACAGGGTTCTGTAGGTGAAGTTTGAGCAGTTTTCGAGCAGGTGAATGATCTAATTGTTCCATGCTTCTCTTTTCTGCAGAGGTAAGCGAAAAGAAAAAAAAATTACTGGAAACTTAATGTATGTATACTGCCCGACAGTGAAGGCATCACAATGACAAATCTGAGGGTGCCTGTCCTCAAAGAAAGGGCACAATTACAGTGGTAGGAAAGCCAGGCGTGACTGCAACAATATAAGTGAAAAATGAGTGAAGATGTGTATAGCAAATGATTTAGAGCTGAAAACAGGAAAAACTATGGAGGTACAATGTAAGTGTGATTTGGGGGATTCTCAAGAATTGAAGAGTTGTTAAAGGTAGCACGAATTTTTTTGGCTTGGATCTGACACCACACAGTTCATGGAATGCTTCTGTAGAATATACACCCACACACTTCACATCAGTATACTACGTATTGTGGGGAGAAAATTAAATCACTTGATAGAAGCATTATCCTGAGAACCATGGTGCTTGCTCAGAAGGGCAATTTGAAACACAAAATGTTATTAGGTACATTACTATAAGCAGCACACTTACGGAGCTGTACTGACACCTTCTGGAGACACTGGGTACTTTCATCCATGAATGCCTGCAGCTGCTTCACTGATCCTTGGAGCTCATCCATCTGTAGACAGAAGACAGCCATGAGCAGGCTGCATGGCTTCACTAAACCTACAGGAGCTTTGGACTACTCTTTAAAGCCTGGAATACGTACACCAGACATTCTCTGTGGGAACCTCCTCATACTCGTGGCTCTATGCAGCAGGAGGCTGACCCCATAACCTCTAGCAAAGGATATCATGCCCTCTAACATTTGGTTGGGTGTGTCCATGAAGAAACCCTGGCAGGAAGGAGCTGACCAAGGCCATATTATTATTGCTCAAACTTGTTCCCAGACAGGTCATCCTGAGTTAACTGCATCCTTTATGTAGAGGTCATGACTCAGACAGCAGCCAACTATGGGACTCTTGTCCCAGATGGCACAATAATGGCTCCTCTCTCCAAACAAAAGGTAAGAATTCAGTTACCTGTAAGCCCCATGTTACTTCACTAACTGATTCCCTGAGACTTACACCTTTATTTATTTATTTTTGTAGGTTGTAGGGCTTGAACTGTGAGCCTGGGCGCTGTCCCTCAGCTCTTCAGCTCAGGGAGAGTGCTCTACCACTTGAGCAACAGCACCACTTCTGGTTTTCTGGTTAATTGGAGACAAGAGTATCATGAAGCCAGGTGCCATGGCCTACACCTATAATCCTAGCTACTCAGGAGGCTGAGATCTGAGAAAAGTCCATGAGACTCTGATCCCCAATAAACCACCAAAAAAAAAAAACCGGAAGTGGCGCTGTGGCTCAAGTAGTAGAGGGCTCACCTTGACCTAGAGAGCTCAAGGGCAGTGCCCAGGCCCAGAGTTCAAGTCCCATGACTGACCAAAAGAAGAAAAAAAAAAAGGGTATCACAGACTTGGCTGCCCAGGCTGGCTTTGAACGATCCTCAGATTTCAGCCTCCTGAGTAGCTAGGATTACAGGTATGAGCCACCAGCACCTGCTGAGACCTATGCCTTTATAGAGTCTCGAAAAATAATGCTGGGCATTGGTGGCTCATGCCTCAGAAGGCTTAGATTTGAAGATCATGGTTTGAAGCCAGCTCAGTCAGGAAAGTCCACAAAGACTCTAGCTGTGGCTTAAGTGGTAGACTGCTAGCCTTGAGCAAAAAAGCCCAGGGACAGTGACCAGACCCTGAGTTCAAGCCCCAAAACCAATACAAAAATAAATAAATAAATAAATAAGGCTTTGAAAAGTCCTTGAATTACCTTCCTTCCAAATACCACCTGCTTTCTGCTGATATTAGGGATAATACCATGCCATACTCCTAAATGTCTTCAAGTTGTGATTAAGCAGCCACCTGGAAGGGCCTTAAAGAATTCTTTATGTAAAATAAAAACTGTGGTCTTCCCTATATTCTCTGCCCCCTTCCTTGCTTTACTAGCACTCACCACCTCATATGTTTCCTTTTTTTTTTTTTTCAATTTTCTCTCCATGTTTCCCAAAGTGGAGTTGAATATTATCTTTATTATATTATTATTTATATTATATTCTCCAAGTGTTTTAATTTCCAAGGATAATGCAATTGTGAATGCCCCTAATAGGCTTATATGCTAAAGGCTTGTTCACTAGCTAGAGGCCCCAGTGGGAGATGGAAGAATCTTTAAGAAGTAGGGTTTAGTACAATGAAGTGACGTCACTGGAATGTGTCTTTGAAGGGGAGATAAGGACCCTGACCTTGTTCTCTTTCTGCTTCCCAGCACCATTTGGTAAGCATCCTCCTGTGCATACATTCCCAACATAATGTACTGTGTGTGGGGAAAGGCCTAAAGCAATAGGGCCAAGTGACCATGGACTGAAACCTCTGAGATCGGTTGATTCTGTCAGGTATTTTGTCACAGCAATGGCAAGCTGACTTAGAAAGGTGACAGGTAGCAAGGTGCAGCTGGATAATCTGAATAAACTCGAAGCAACTTACCACCAACTCCATACAATCAAAGACTTTGTTCTGGCTCCGTATAATTTCCTGGTAGTCAGGCTTTGTGTTGAGAACTGCACTTTGGGAAGACCCAAGGTATATTTTAGGGTCCATGTTGACTTCAGTGATTTTGGTTGCAAGTGAGCTTCTAAGAACAAACAATAAAATAAAATACTTGAATAGATGGAAAGTTCATGGAAATAACTTTTTCACAATGACATCTACAGTTTACTGAGGACTTCTTAGGTTCCAGACACTACTAATTAGTTTACTGTTTTTTTTTTCTTCCTGTGCCAGTCCTGAGGCTTGAATTTAGAGCCGAGGTACTATCCCTGAGCTTTCTTTTTGTTTTGTTTTGTCGGTTGTGGGCCTGAACTCTAGGCCTGAGCACTGTCCCTTAGCTCTTCACTCAAGGCTAGCACTCTACCACTTGAGCCACAGCACCACCTCTGGCTTTTTCTGCTTATGTGGTGTTGAGGAATCTAACCCAGGGCTTCATGCATGAAAGGCAATCACTCTACCACTGAGCCACCTTCCCAACCCTCCCTGAGCTTTCTTACTCAAGCTTAGCATTCTACCACTTGAGACACAGCTCCAAGTCTGACTCTTTTGGTGCTTACAAACTTTCCTGCTTATACTGGCTTTGAACCATGATACTCAGATCTCCATCTCCTGAGTAGCTAGGATTACAGGCGTGAAACAAGCACCTGGCTCAGTTTACATTTAATCTCATTCAACATTCACAATGATCCAGTGAGGTAGGTACAAATATTATGCACATTTTCAAATGAGGATTCTCAGATTCCAAGAGATTAAGTGACTTGCCCACAGTCACAAAACTAAGGAGAAGTAGTCAAGACCTTAGACAGTTTCTGGAACATTCCTCTGAGGTTTCCCATAAAAGTTTTTATTCTAAAGCTGTCACCTTCAACATTATCTTCATAAAGTGTATACATGGAATATGTCCAGATGATTACCAATGACCATCGCTGCCTGGACTGGGCAAGCTTTTCAAACCATGTTCCTCAAATGTTCTTTTTACTGATAGAACATTAGTAATCAGGGTTTTGGCTAACAGTTGATAGCTGGGTTTCTAGCTAAGAAATGGTTGGAAAACAGCTTAATATTGGATGTGATAGGGAGAGATCTAGCTGATTAAGTAGATGCTTTCATCCACACTTTATATAAGGTTTTTGTGAGCTTCAAAGATGTGAAGTGATTTTCCAAAGTACTATGATTAGAGAAAAACATTCAGGGCTAGGTTTTTTTTTTCTGTTGGTCATGAGATTTGAATGCTGGGCCTGGGTGCTGTCCCTCAGCTCTTCAGCTCAAGGCTTTCACTCTACCACTTGAGCCACAGCACCACTTCTGGTTTTCTTGTGGTTAACTGGAAATGTCTCACGGGACTTTTCAGCCTGGGCTGGCTTTGAACTGCAATCCTCATATCTCAGCCTCCTAAGTAGCTAGGATTACAGGAGTCATTCACTGGCGTCCAGCCTAGATTTTTTTATTTTTACTTTTTTAAGTTAAACTTACTCTAAAATTTGTAGCTATTCCTTAACAAGTGTTCTCATTAAGAGGGCTGAAGACAGTGATGCCAATGCCCTGTTTTCCTCCCTCAGTCTCCATTTATGATCAAAGTACAAATGTACACTTTAATAGAATCTTGATGAGCTGACTGAACAAAAAGATACATCATTTCTTTGTTCTAACAGTCCAGAAAACAAACTCAAAACAAATTCCACAAGGAAACAAAAAAAGATATTCCAGTTCACAGATCTAACCTGGACATTGCTTCTGGCAGTGCTTCCTTCTGGTAACGCTGCAAGAGCTGATCCCAGGTTTGACTTTCTAAAGAAAATCTACAGAATTGAAAGGCAAAATTCAGTTAACTTTTGATCATCTTATTCTGAATCATTCAGGGCAACCATAAGTACATAAGGCATATAATCTGGTAAATATTAGTAAAAAGGTCATTAAAGGATTAGAAAGCTGGAGTGGCTTAATGGCTATTAATCGAATTGTTAAAATCAAATTAACACCCTTATTCCCTATACTCCATCCAATGAAACTAGCCACCAGTATAGCCCATAAACATCTTCAAAAAACATACAGAGCTTCCTAACTTTTAAGGCTGATATACAAATACTGAATCCTGTTAACCCAGCATTTTTCCCAGGTTTATTTTTCTCACACGAAGAATTCTGTATTGTCCAAGAAAAGTTCACTCATTTTCACTTACTTTGCTATATACTCCTTCATCTCAGCCACTGATGTTTCCAGAGAAAAATCTGATGCTTTTCTGGAATATACATTGGATTATGAATTCAATATGAATCAGGAACCATTTGCTTTTAATATAATGTCTTACAGAATTTTAATGGCAAAAAGACATGCTCATAGTTTTTACCTTTCAACAAATATTTTTTCTTGACTGTATCTCCCAGATTAACCTTTCTAAAAAGTCCCTTTGTTTTTTCTGTTCTTAGAAACTCTACAACTCTACTTGCATTTAGAAGAAAAGTCAAAACTCCTTAGTATGGCACTTAAGGCTTCTTATGTTCTTCCTCTGCTCAGCTTACCAAGTTGGATAATCCAATGACTCAGCTCAGTTAGATGTTTAATTCCAATGGAAAAGAAGTGGGCACTAGGGACTGAAGATGTAGCTCAAGTGGTAGAGTGACTGCCTCGCACACAGAAAGATGCTCTAATACCATTAAAAAGTAGTAGTAGTAGTAGTAATAATAATAATAATAGCATATTTTTAAAGCCAGTGCTGAAAATCTTAGCTACTTAGGAGGCCACGATGTGAGGATTTCAGTTTGAACCCAGGTGAGGCAGTAAAGTCTGTGAGATTCTTACCTCCAATAAAGTATCAAAGAAACAAATTAAGGTGTGGCTCAAGTGGTAGGGCATTAGCCTTGAACAAAAAAGTTAAGGGACAGTGCCTAGACCCTAAGTTCAAGCTCTAGTATGCACATACACGTACATACATGTGTACATACTCAGCAGCAGCAGCAGACACTGAAGATATCAAAATATGGCAAATGTACTTGATATTCTACCTAGTAGAAACAAATTCAAACCCGGGGACCAAAAAAAAAAAAGGAATGTGGCTTATTGGTAGAATGCTTGCCTTGCATGCATAAAGCCCTGGGTTAGATTCCTTAGTACCACATGAACAGAAAAAGCTGGAAGTGATGCTGTGGCTCAAGTGGTAGAGTGCTAGCCTTGAGCAAAAGAAGCTCAAGCTCAGAGACAGTGCCCAGGCTGAGTTCATGCCCTAAGACTGGCAAAAAAAAAAAAAAAGTCATGCTATTCTACAGACCTGGAAAAAGTAGAACTTCATGAAGTCCAAAGTTAAAGTTCATGATGTAAGACCAAGTGTAACTTCTTTTTTTTCAGCTTTGAGCCTAGGACTTGAACTTAGTACCTGATACTTTCATGTATTGGTAAGGCTTCTACCAATTGAGCCATGCCTCCAACTCAAGCATATCTTTTGTTGTAGGGCCAACATAGGACTGGGGATGACAGCTTCATTCCTGAAGAATCAATGGTTTAAGGGGTGGGATTTTAATTTTTATTATTATTTTTTGCCTGAGACTGGACTCGAACTCAGTATCTGATGCTTGCTTGCTCTCATTGGCTGGCACTCTACACGCCTCCAACTCCAAAGTTTTTCTTTTTTTTTTTGCAAGGGGGGAGGTTTAAATACTGGTAATGTTATGCTTACCAAAAGCCAATGAACATGAGCTTCTTTCATCTCACATGGCTAGCAAAGATCTACATATGTGTTTTCCTCATCTTCCTGTGGTGTCCTTACCACTCAGGTATTATGTGTCAGCCCAAAGATCAAAATATTAGTCTACACCAGTCACTCTATTTGTTGACTTCCTAAATTATCACTATCTGGAATCATAATTTCTTTGCATTTTGCTGTCTCTCTTTCAGTATATAACAGAAGAAACTTATCCCTACATCCTCAGTATTTAAAAAAGGCTGGTAGGGGCTGGGAAGGTGGCTCAGTGGTAGAGTGCTTGCTTTGCATGCATGAGGTTCTGGGTTCGATTCCTCAGCACCACATAAGTAGAAAAAGCTGGAATTGGCACTGTGGCTCAAATGGTAGAGTGCTAGCCTTGAGCTGAAGAGCTGAGGGACAGTGCCCAGGCCCAGAGGTCAGGCCCCATGACCAACAACTACAAAAAAGGCTGCTACATGCTAGGTGCTGGTAGCTGGTGCCTATAATCCTGGTTACTCAGGAGACTAAGATCAGAGGATTGCAGTTCAAAAACCAGCTCAGTCAGACAAATATAAGACTCTTAGCTCCAATTAACCAGCAAAAAGCTGGAAGAGGAAGTATGGGTTAAGTGGTAGAGCTCCAGCTCAAGAGAAAAAGCTAAGGCAGATCACAAGGTACCAGTATGCATTTTAAAAAACATACAAAACAAAAACAACTCAAGTTGGGTGCTGGTAGCTCACATGTGTAATCCTAGGTACCCAAGAGGCTGAGATTTGAGGGTTATGGTTCAAAGCCATACTCTTATCTCCAATTAACCACTAGAAAAACATAAGTGGCACTGTGGCTCAAAGCGGTAGAGCATTAGCCTTGAGCCAAGAGCTGGACAGCGCCCAGGCCCTGAGTTCAAGCCCCATAACCAACAAAAAACAAACAAGCAAAAAAAATCTCAACAAAAAAGACTGGTATGGGCTGGGAAGGTGGCTCAGTGGTAGAGCACATGAGACCTCATGCCTTGCATGCATGAGGCCCTGGGTTCGATTCCTCAGCACCACATAAGCAGAAAAAATAAAAAAGCTGGAAGTGGTGCTGTGGTTCAAGTAGCAGAGTGCTAGCCTTGAGCTGAAGAGCTGAGGGACAGCGCCCAGGCCCAGAGTTCAGGCCCCACAACCGGACCCCCCCCCAAAAAAAGGCTGTATATAAGAAGATGCTGGATAAATGTTTACTGAGCAAAGGAACAACTATTTAATTATAAAGAAGTCAATTCAGTTATATATTAGAACAGAAGTAACATTGCTTGCTTACTCTTTTGACTCTTCAAAGCATTTTTGTAAAATACCATCACTTTCCAGTCTGTCTGCAAAATGTTTCAATTCTTCAGAAAGAGAAGATGCTAGAGAGAATATATTTATGTCATAAAATTAAAGATACAACTTTTCCCAATGAGCAGCTTAAAAAGACACTTAAAAGGTATTCCCAGGTCTAATGTCATCCATGATATTCTGGCCCTCTGTCATTTACCCAAAAAAGTGGTGTAGGGGTGTACAATTTATCTTTTATTTCCAATTGACCAAGAAAAAAAAACCCTGGAAATACAACCGTGGCTTATGTGCCAGCCTTAAGTGAAAAAAGACTAGCATAGGCAAAGAATCCCAAAGACTCCATTTTAACAGAAGTTGGGTATGGTAGCCTGTCATCCCAGCTATGGCAGGAAGTATAAAATAGGAGGAAAAGTCCAGATGCATATCTAGGAATAGGCAAGACCCTACCTTAAAATAACCAGTGATATAAAGAGCTTGAGGAACTGCTTAACAGAAAGCCTGCCTAGCAAGCATGAAGCCCAGAGTTCAAACCTCAGTAGTATTAAAAAAAAAAAAAAAAGTAAAAAAGTATTCAGAGCACCAGTGGCTCATGCCTGTAATCCTAGTTACTCAGGAGGATGAGATCTGAGGATCACGGTTCAAAGCCAGCTTGGACAGGAAAGTCCATAAGACTCTTATCTCCAATAAAGCACCAGAAAACCAGAAGTGGCACTGTAGAGATTCGATTCCTCAGTACCACATAAGTAGAAAAAGCTGGAAGTGGCACTGTGGCTCAAATGGTAGAGAGCTAGTCTTGAGCTGAAAAGCCCAGGGACATCACTCAGGCCCAGAGTTCAAATCCCATGACTGACTTGTAATAGAAAAAGACTGATATTCTAAAAGTTAAAGTACTTGTTAATCAAACATTGTTCATTTATGTAAGGGAATATTATATACAACTACCAAAATGCCAAAGCAGCTCTATATGTGTGATATAGAATAATCTGCAGGATAAATTATTAGGTAAAAAGGAAAAAAATCCAAGTTTGGGACATGGTATAGCTCAGAAGTAAAATGCTTGCTTGGTGTGCACGAACCTCCAGGTTTGATCCCCAGTCCCTGGGAAAGCTGAAGTATTGAATAGTACAGAGTATCAAATCATATAATTCTAATGAATATTTCAACAAACAATAAAAATCTCTGTAAGAATACACAAGAAAACTAGTGGCCATAACTGCCTCTGTAAAGAAGTTGAGATGGGGCTTAGGGTAGGGTGATTATTTTCTACTTTCTTATGAGTTTAATATATATTCTTATGTTAAATGCAATTAAAAAATGAACAAAACAGGGCTGGGAAGGTGGCTCAGTGGTAGAGCGCTTGCCTTGCATGCCTGAGGCCCTGGGTTCGATTCCTCAGCACCACATAAGCAGAAAAAGCCGGAAGTGGCGCTATGGCTCAAGTGGTGGTAGAGTGCTAGCCTTGAGCTGAAGAGCCAAGGGACGGCACCCAGGCCCAGAGTTCAGGCCCCCACAACCGGCAAAAAAAAAATGAACAAAACAAAAAGGACCTGGTTTTATGGGGCAGTGGCTCCTTTAAATGGAGAGCCTGCAAATGAGGCTTTGGCTGACCCCAAGAAGGGTCCAAGGTCAAAGCACAGTTGTCTATCTTCAGCAACTTACCTTTTGCTCTAAAACTTTCCAGACTGAAGCCCTTAGTGTCCCTTAGGAAAGGTTCGAGTTTCTGAACAGAGAACTAATAAAGAAAAGCATTTTTAGTACAACCACCACAATTTTCCAGACCAGACCAAAGTTCATATAACTTCATGATGTTTACTACAATGGGAAACTAAACATGATTCTTTTTCATCTAAGATGTTTCATATCAACAAATAGGTAACAAAATAAAAATTTTCTTTATTGTTCTGATTACCCATTTTGATTGTGATTGTGTGTTGGCCCTGGGGGTTGAACTCAGGGCTTGGGCACTGTGTCTGACTTCTTTGCTCAAAGCTCGTATTCTACCACTTGAACCACATAGCTTCACTTTTAGTTCTGGGTTTTTTTTTTTGGTTTGTTTGTTTTTTGTAGTTAACTGGAGATAAGTCTCATGGACTTTCTTGCCCAGTCTGGCTTTGAATCACAATCCTCAGATCTCAGCCTCTTGGGTAGGTAGGATTACAGACATGAGCCAATGGCACCTGTCACCATTTTGATTTTTAATTCAGTAAAAAGTGGTCATTTAACTCAAATGAATTATTTATTTGACTAATTTTCCATAAGCATCAGTGAGCCATATAATAAACAACCTGACTTTTGTTGTCAGTGCTGGGGCTTGAGCTCAGGGCCTAGGTACTGTTCCTGAGCTTTTCTGTACAAGGTTTCACTTCTGGCTTTTTTGGTGGTTAATTGGTGATAAGTGTTTCACAGACTTTCCTTCTGGGTTGGTTTTAAACTGAGATCCTCAGATCTCAGCCTCCCGAGCAGCTAGGATTACAGGGGTGAGCCACAGGCTCTAATAACTTGATTTTACCTGCTTTAAATTCCTACCATTTAGAGGCCACACTGGGGAAATCTGTAGGCTACTTAGTAATGGGAGTAGCAGAAAATTGGAACCAAAAATTAACTTAGCTACCAGAATTAAATCTAGAGGAACACCTTCTAATTGATTCATCACATAGTATTAATATCCCTTTGTAGTTACTACAATAAGAATAAACAACAACCTGGGTGCTGGTGGCTCACGCCTGTATTCCTAGCTACTCAGGAGGCTGAGATCTGAGGACCACGGTTCAAAGCCATGAAAGTCTGTGAGACTCTTCTCTCCAATAAACCACTTGAAAACTGGAAGTGGTGCTGTGGCTCAAGTGGTAGAGTGCTCACCTTGAGCTGAAAAGCGCAGGGACAGCACCCAAGCTCAGAGTTCAAGCACCGTGACTGACCAAAAAAAAAAAGAATAAACAACAACAAAAGCACTTTCCAATCACAAGAATCTCACCTGGAAACTGGAAAACAGGAGAGCACCAAGCCTTTTGCTTTCTGGTAAGTCACCACTGATAGACCTGCTAAGCTCTGACAGAAAATAAGACCATATTTAAAGAATTGCACACTTAAAGATAACAATGCGACAAAACAAAAATTTCCTCTCTGTGACACAATCCAACTTAAGATAAAAAACATCTTCTCTAGCTGGGTGCCGGTAGCCTGTAATCCTAGCTACTCAGGAGGCTGAGCTCTGAGGATAGCGGTTCAAAGCCAACCCAGAAAGGAAAAGTCCATGAGACTCTTATCTCCAATAAACTACCAGAAAACTGGAAGTGGCACTGTGGCTCAAGAGGTAGAGCTCTCACTTTGGGCTGAAGAGCTAAGGGACAGTGCCTAGGCCCAGAGTTCAAGCCTACAACCAAAAAAAAAAAGAAAAAGAAAAGGCATCTTCTCTGATTAAAGGAATAATTCTAATCCTTCCAGGATCACTAAGGAATAATACAATCTTTAAGAAATGTTATTGGGGGGCTGAGAAGGTGGCTCAGTGGTAGAGCGCTTGCCTTGAATGCTCAAGGCCCTGGGTTCGATTCCTCAGCACCACATAAGCAAAAAGAAAAAAGCTGGAAGTGGCGCTGTGGTTCAAGTGGTAGAGCGCTAGCCTTGAGCTGAAGAGCTGAGGGACAGCACCCAGGCCCAGAGTTCAGGCCCCACGACCAGACCAAAAAAAATAAAAAATAAAATAAGAAATGTTATTAGGGTCTGGAGGCATGGCCTAAAATGGCAGAGCACCTGCCTAGCAAGGTCAAAGTCTTGAGTTTAAACCATAGTACCAGCAACAAAAGAAAACAGTAGAATCTTTTGATGCATTACATTAAAATCTTGTTTGATTAAATTAGGCCAAAAAAGGGCTAGGAAGGTGTCTCAGTAGTAGAGTGCCTGCCTTGTCTTCATGAGGCCCTTGGTTAGATTCCTCAGCACCACATAAGCAGAAAAAGCTGGAAGTGGCGCTGTGGCTCAAGTGGCAGGGCGTTTGTGAGCCTTGAGCTGAAGAGCTGAGGGGCAGCACCCAGGCCCACAGTTCAGGCCCCACGACTGGCGAAAAAAAAAAAAAAAAAAAAACCTGGCCAAAAAAACCCTATTTACCTATTTTTATGATTCAGAGAAAGGAGATGAAAACATATGATCATTTTTATAGTTGGCACTGACCTATGCTTGAAATGAATCGCCTTTAAGAGTCTTCTATGAACTCTATGAGCTCCATTTGTAAAATGAGACCAGTGACTGAAAGAGCCTTGGTTCAAACCCAAGACTCACACCAGGGTCTGTTTTTCCCATTGGTAGCATGCTGCCTCTCTGTAATAGCTAACACCTGTTGAACATTTGCTATTTAAAGGGCATTTTCTTTAGCTGGCTAGCCCTGAGGTAAGTATCTTATCAATGTTATTTTGATGACACATTACAGAGGCACAAAGGCCAGGTAACAGATCTTGCTCTAGGTCACATGAATAATGAGGCTGAATTGGGTAAGCCTTTTATGTAATTATCCCACCGATTTCTCAAGCAACAAGATGTAAAGATTTTTTTCAATTATGTCCATTTAAATACAAATTATTACCCAGCTTTGGGAATACTAGCACTACATGTCTTTTTGCCCTCCAGCTTCATCCAGCTGGCAATGTTTTTAAAGTACTCTTGTCTCTTGACTAACTCTTAAGGCTGTGACTCAGGAAAAACCGAATTGTTTCTGCGTATAACCAAGGACACCTGAACAGGAAAATCATACAATAACCAGTCTTATCACACTGATGATTTCAAGTCTAAATACTCTGGAATAGATGAAGATGTCTAATCTTGAGGAACTACTAATTTTTCTTACACATGTAGAAACTAAAACAATATTGTGATGTGCTATTTTTTTTTGGGGGGGAGGGTCCAGTCGTGGGGCCTGAACTCTGGGCCTGGGCACTGTCCCTCAGCTCTTCAGCTCAAGGCTAGCGCTCTACCACATGAGCCACAACGCCACTTCCGGCTTTTTTCTTTTTGCTTATGTGGTGCTGAGGAATCAAACCCAGGGCCTCATGCATGCAAGGCAAGCGCTCTAC